GTCCCGGCTCATTGCAGGGGAGTTGGTCTAGATGACCTTTAAAGTCCCTTCCAGCTTAAATGATTCTATGAAAGGCTGAGAGACCTGAGACTGTTCAGCCTGGAGAGGAGGATACTGAGGTGTATCTTACCAACATTTAAAAATATCTAAAGGGTGGGTGGAAGTGAGTTGGATGGGGCCAGGCTCTTTTCAGCAGTACCCAATGACAGAGAAAGGGGCAATGGTGCAGTCTGGAACATAGGAAGTTCCACCTGAACGTGAGGGAAAATAATATTTCCTGTGAGGATGACAGTATGTAGGACAAGAGGGAATGGTTTTAAACTGAGACAGGGGAGGTTTAGGTTAGATATTAGGAGGAAGTTTTTCACCCAGAAGGTGGTGAGGCACTGGAACAGGTTGCCCAAGGAGGTTGTGGATGCCCCATCCCTGGAGGCATTCAAGGCCAGGCTGAACGTGGCTCTGGGCAGCCTGGTCTGCTGGTTGGTGACCCTGCACATAACAGGGGGTTGGAACCAGATGATCATTGTGGTCCTTTGCAACCCAGGCTATTCTGTGATTCTATGCTCTGAAAGTAATTCCTCCTATTTTTATGAAAACTATAAAAGCTACAAAGAGCACAATAAGAGTATTTGATTAAGCAAATTCTCAGCTACAAAACAATTTTTCAACATAGTCACTGCCGTTATGCATTTTCACCAGCGATGAACAACAGCCTGCATTTCACACTCATAAAAAAATCTGCACCACCTGAGGTGACATACTGTCCACTGTCACCTCTGCTGAAATGCACCACCCACCACCTCATTGTGCTCACATCCATCATTTATTTGCAATAAATGTTCAGCAAGCATCAATGAATATCAGTGGGTACAATTTTTTCCACATGGAGGAATTCAGTTCTATACCCATGCTCAATAAGTATCTCCATGTCAGTCGCCATTTTTTCAGATTGTCCCTCTGCTGCCATCTGTTGCACGGCAACAAAACGTAATGGAATATTGGCAGGAAGGTTCAGCCTCTACTGCCATACCACCAACATCTACCTCTGATGTCGTGCGCCAACATAATAAAATAGGAGGCAGTACTTTTGGAGCAGCTCTGGTACCTTTCTGCAACTTCCCCCAGGATCATGGTGTTTCCCAAATTTAAGACTGAGAGAAGAGTCTGCTAAAATAAAAAACCTTGTTTTTTTTCCAGTAACATATACCACTAAATAAGAAGTTCCAGAAGGAAGAGATGAAATCATAGCTTGTAAGACAGAATAAAGTTTCTTTCCTTAATCTTATGTGTTTACT